TATACTCTAATTTTTTCGTGATATCTCAATATAATTGTTAAATAATTCTATGAAGAATGCAGCAGAGGAGTTCTATTTATATAATAAAATATTTGGATTACAACGAATGAGCAATTGATTTGTATTAAGTAGAATCAACATTTCGCTGTATTTATTGAGGAAGTATGAGCAAAAGTAATAAAGTTAAAAAAAAACTACAATTAATTTTGTTCATTGATAATTGTAATAAAAATGATTACTAATGTAAATAAATGTGTGCATTCATATAGAAACACATTGATTAGTAATCGTAGAAGCTTTTAATGAACCAACGCGTGTGTTGTGCACGATAAAACAAAATACGCTCAATTATGTTATTGAATGCTTTGTTATTCTTCGATTTTACACATTCAATGTTTCTATAAATTCGTTATGCATTGTATGGGGAAATGTTGTACAAGTTTGCACAAAGTTTGTATAATGCGAGAGTATATGTATAACCCGACTAAATTTGGTAATTAATTGAAAATTCAATTTATAATAATTCCTTCCAGTTCGCAAGTTTTAGGCAAAAACTCTACCTTGTGTATATGCAAACTTCTCCCACCGAAAGATTAAAGAAACAGAAGGCACTCGATTATTCCTGCTAGTTGAACAAATTGAGAGAACTCGGAGGGAGGAATTCTAGGGTGCATTAATAATTAAAGGGTGGATTTTCGAGGTCCATTACCTGCCGGAGTAACAGCTTCCCTGCATGTCGTTAATTTGAATAACGTTCAATTATTTAATGAAGCTATTTAACTACAAGCTTCGTCATCGTTATTACTGGATTAACGAAAACACATTTATTTGCATTGCGATAAAATATAATTGCTAACCGATAATAGGAATATACAATAATTGTTTCAAATTAATCTATTACATTTTGTTCACCTGTTGACCAAATTATATAACTTTGTTAATATTCTTTGGAGGTTGCTATCCATTTTTATTTGTTAAATCCATTAACCAGAATATCAATGTCTCGCATATTTAAAGTGATAGGAGATATGAATTGACCAGATAATAAACAAATTACTATGCACCATCTTCATTCTGTTATAAAAGAATTCAATATATTGTTTATCAAAGCACGAACATATTTCCTATAAATCCTGATCCTAAACAGATATTAATTTCGTAATTATGTAGAAAAATTGTCCCTCCATTGCTAAATAAAATTGATGTATAAAACCCACCAGAACTACCAATATATTCGAAGAAAATGACTCCACTTATATCCTCGTTTCCTTTAACCTTTTGTACCAACTTTTCGAAGATTATTTCGTTGAAAATTGCTTATGATTTCGATCAAATTCTGAAGGAACACAGGCCTCGGGTACGTAAACATTGCCGCTATAAGAATCAATTCATCTCTCAGTTGCGAGGTTCGGTTTATTATACGCGTTCGACGTGGAAGTCGATCGATTTAACAAACGAAAGGAGAAGGAAGGAGCCGGCGAATGAAGATGAAACGAGACGGAGAAAGGTAGAAAAAAGAAACGGCAAGAATTCCGCTCAGCTCCCTCGTGCCACGTTCCTGCGTTTCACCACCGAAGGCAGCCGACGGCCGCAGGTCAACGAAACTCGTTTTTCATTAATTGAAAGTAAACTTCGAGAAAGGGGAACTGCTTCGTCGCTCCCGGGAATCTTTGAGCAAAGTCATTGAAACTGAGTTCGGGAAACTCTGACGGTCGTGCCAGTTGCTGCCAATTTATTGGCATGCGAAACGAAAGAGCCTTCGGCGTGACGTTTTATCAGAGACTCTCATAATACACAGACTATCGCGAAACTCCCGGTACAATTAGAACGAAAAGGATTCGTACGAAACGAATCGACGTTGATTCATTGAATTTTGCCTACGTAGCTTTATTTCCCAGGACGATTAATGCGCCAAGTTGCATTTGATTTGCCAGTTTTATTTCGTTCGAGTTCATTTCAACTTTATTTGATGTTTCGTGTATCTGGAGGCAATACGCGTGTGCACGATGCACTGAGTGAATTATTGACATGGTGTATTTTTATTGTTCAAATTGAGTGTGTAATTTAATATACTGATAAAATATTTTTGTTTTTACACCATTAGAATATGAGGAGCATTAGAACAAGTAGAAATAACAAGCAATGGTCAGCTTTACTTTAACTTTATTTTCTCTTATCTATCACGAATCTGGGAGTAATATATGCTTTCATGACGTATACATATAAGGTAATCTGTAGATAAAATATTCTTCTCGTACCAACAATATGTAGAGAACTGCAGCAAGTGGAAATAGCGAGCAATGGTCAGACATGTCAGCCAAGTGGTATACGTGACCTACGAATATTCTGATTCGATTTCTTCGAAAACAAATATTCTTATTTGGAACTGACCAGCATCAACAATCAATACAAAAGTAATTTTACTATACAAAAGGTATACTTTAAAAGTTTAATATTAGATGATCGAGAAGTTGAATTAATATACTTTGTATTGATTGGAGATGCTCGTCATTTCGTCTATTGTCATTAATAAATTAATTTTTATATTCATTTTTATTTGAATATCTACTTAATTAATAATAAAATATCGCTGTCCGAATAGTATCTTTTTATCAACTCTTAATTTTTCTGGATTAAATTAAACTATGATATCTACTAAAAATATCAATTTCGATCATTTGAAAAATTAAAAATTAAATGCTAAAACGTCGCGCTACAAAATTCCTAGTAAAAATTGTATATATGAAACAAATTTAAAGTAATCGATTAAGTGGTTTTATTTTATAAATTCCAGAAGGTACGCCACGCTTGGGAGCGTCCAGGCGTAAAACCACCCTTAAATCCACTGTCTGAGTCTGGGACGCAGGGTAGAATTGGTAACGATTCACTTTGGGTAAAATTGACCCGTGTTGCTCGCTACATCCGGTTGCCAAATGACTTCGAACGTGTATAGTACTGCAAGACCATGCGATAAATTTCAGCGTTGCAGAGTACCTCCAGACTAATTTGCACCACAACAAGAAGAAACAATGTTCCCCTTTTTCGAAATCATGCCATTCACGCGTAATTTTCCATCGACGCGTTTCCTTCTTCCGGAATATTCAGACTTTTAATGGATATTCGAAATTTAACGGTAGTTACACCGATTGGATTGTTCATCTCATGCGTATTCATAAGATATTACGACGTTCAATATTCATAAGCCACGCGATACTTTAAACAGGACGGGGGCTGAAATCAGACGGGCAACCGTAAAGAAATAAAACTGCGGGGAATTTAGTCGCTTCGTCCGAGAAGCCCTTCTTTAAATAGAACGCATTTCACGTTGCAGATTTCAAATTAATCAGAGGGAATTCGTTGAACGATCATTAAAGTTAAGTGAAACATTTTTCCCGGCGCAGTACTGCTTCGGAACGCTTATTAAATATTAATGTGTATACTGCAAAATTTAATTTCACTCTCACACTCTGACACTGTATTAATTTATCGCTTACTGACTTAAAGGAAGAATTTACAATAAAAGTCGAAACAATAAGCATTAGTACCACACGATAATTTAAACATTTTTGGGGCTTCATTTGTGAATAATTAATATTTGTTCGAAGGAGATCAATTTGATTTGTGTATTCAAGAAAAAAATGTATCTTATTGCATTCTCTACAGAGAAGAGAATTCGGCATACTGTTTTTATAAATCTGAACATATAAATGAAAGAATCTTCAATTTAATTGGAAATATCGTAATTCATACTTCTAATTTAACTTTTAGAAATATGGATTCAAACCCATTCTGTACTGACTCAATGCACTGTATTGTTGAATGAATATTCAGTTAGTTCGTGTGTTTCAATTAAGGTTTTATAGACCTATTAAAAATAAAAGTGTATTGCGTATTGAAAGAGATCAAAGAGGATTAAAATCTACGCAGGATAGAATACCTGACACGTGAAATGATTTTCCCACATTCAGTTTACAGCAATGCTTTCAATCTGATATGAAATGTTCACACAAAAGTATGTTTTTCATTTCCTTTTTTGAAACGTGAAACATGCATTATGTTTCCGCATGGCTGTTAGCATCAAATAAAATCGCATCGCGGAAACTGAATCGTTCTGGATCGAACGAGATTAGTGTCTGTGAAACGGTGGAAATAATGCTGAACGTTTCTTTTCAGTTCGTGGATCTACTGAAATAGAGGGAGATTGCTGAATCGAGCCAGAAGTATTCATAGTGGGCCGTAAAATATGTCAACGAAAACTCCAATTTGAGATTGGTTATTAAATGATCGAAATTGAGAATCAAACATTTTAGTGTAATAAGTTATCATATTTATTAGATAGATAAATTATTTAAATTATTCAGTGTTAAAGTAACCTAAGAATCAACATCTGATCAGAAAACTGCAAATGTCGCTAAATTATCAAATCAGAGTCAAAAACAAATGTAATTTTGAACACATAAAGATCAATACCAGACAAATGATCGTTCCATCTTTCAAACAATAATGTCTCCCTTTACATGTCCCTTAAACTTCTCATAAAATTTCTCCACAATACATTCAAACTAAAAAGTAAAACAAGAGAACAATAACGGTTGACTTCCCCTTTAATTCCAGCCAGCACGTTCGCACGAGCGATGCCGTGGAATCGATCAGCAGCCGATCCGTGAACCAAGTCGTAAAACGCAAACGCAGGTATAACTATCGTCGAAATCGCTGTCCTCGTGGGCGTAATTTTGAAATCCATTCCGGCCAGTTAAAGGGGAACCAAGTAACGCGAAGCAACTCGTTCACGGATAAAGGGGATCACCGAGCATCGACAATCCACCGGATTCAACGTCGGAGGGAATCTCTACCGGCCCGAATCTGCACCGTTGACGAGGTTTTAATTATGCTAATTACTCGAACGAGCCCTGGGGTATAAGCGGCAGCCCAGGCGCGGGTGTATCGTCGTGGGAAATGGCTGAAGTACGGGGAGCGCGTTAAAATAGATATTTACTGACCTGAATCTCGCCATTCCTCGACCTCGTAGTCGATAGGTCGTTGTCGTAATTTCTTGTTACCGTTTCTACCTAAAATACATTACACAAAGGCGGTTTTACATGGTTGTGCTTCACTGGGCGTCACGGCGCGGGGCTAGGAATGGAGGGAAGTGCGGGAATGGATGTCCTTTGCTACAGTAGAGAAAAAAAAAGAAGGACGAGCAGAGAACGAAGTGCACCGCGATTGTACGGGGGCGGCGCGCTCCTTTGCTTGCAAATTAATGGCGGGTATTCCACCTAATTCCGCGTTTGTTCGCGGCCGAATATCGACGGTATCTTCGTTCTGGCCCGTTAATTGGTATCGTCGTGTATATCGGTAAGCTTGACGCTCAGAGATTTGCGAGTCAAGGTCAATCGTTGCGGAAACAGGAGGAACACCCGACGAAATGAAAGTCGGTTACCGTTTTTCTTCATCGATGAGGTCACGTGGTAGGGCGGTGGCGTGGTGGACGTCGTCGACGGGGCTGGAATCTCTGAAAATAAACAGAATGTGACGTTGACTGAGGGAAACTTAGAAATGAGCTTTATTAGTGGTTCAACCATTTCATTGAATCTAATCCTGTTATCTTTTGCCATGTCGACTCAACCCAATTATTTTATGATACAGCTTACTCTTTGTCTGGACGTTCTTTTGTTCGAAAAGGGATAATTAGAAGGGTAGAATCTTCTGAGGAAATGTTCAACAGAAATGAGCATAGTAATAACAATATTTAATGATTTCGTGTAATGTTAGCTTTGATCTACGTGTCTTCTGTGTAATACGAATTCTCTGCGGAAGGCAGTGTAATTCCATTATCAGAGCCGAAGTATGCTTGCCATTTCTAGGTCATAGAAGTACATAAGATCATCTCTTATCGAGTAAATTTTAGTTTATCTTGTAAGAAAAGAATTCTTTTTCTGATACTTTCATATTCACGAATTACTTGGTAGAGAAGAAAATATAAATATGGTACACCTATTTAATTTACTAATTTTACCATTACCTTATTAATAAATAAACTATGATATTTTTTTAAAACTTTAAATTAAGTTTGGTTGAGTAACGTGATTATTCTATGTTGTTCTAGAAAATTTTACGATTTGTTAAATGTAAATGGGTGATCTCGTAACAGACTATAACGTGAAAAGTGTTGAACAAAATTATTATTTACAACATTGAAGGTTTATAAAATAATCGTGTCTATACATTGTTTATGCATTCCCTATATTGACATTTGCGTTATATTACCTGGAGTATATTATAATGAAGAAAGTCCAAAATGTGAAGGTTCTATTCACATTATTCGAAGCAGTCACGTTTCCCAATTAGTGGAGCTACCGAACAATCTACTGTGTTGTCTTTTAAATGAGAGGGAGTACGGCAGAATTCAGTAATGAAACTTTTATACAGAAAACGGAGATCAAGTTTCCAGTCAGTGAAGTAAAATTCAAAGTATGATGCATACGATTTATAAAATTAATGTATGGATGTCATTTACAAAGAAAGAATTATAATCAATGACTTAAAGATATTGTTAAAATTAAGGTATTCATTCTCATAAATACATTCTATGCAACTGATTGTTAGTTAATAATAATCGCTAGTTCGTTAGTTAATAATAATATTTTTAGTTTCTTTCAAATTATTCGAAAATTCATTTATGTTAAATCGCAAATCGTAATTTCAATGTGCATATTACAAATGTTACAGCGAACAAAGAATATAATCCGGTCATGTTAATTCTAAATCGTTTTGCGTACAATGCCTATTGTATTTTCCATATTACACATGAAACCCATAGAACAATATAAACTTATATAAACATAAATTTCCATGAAATATCTGTGTACGTACGAAATATTACTTTCTGTAAAATATTATTTCTCATAAAGAGTGTGTTGCATTCCTTGGGCATTTATAATAAAAGAAATTTAACGGTGCAATCACTTTAGAAGCATTGCAAATATACACACAAAGAATATCGTATTGAGAGGATTCGCGACAAAAGATTGCTTTTCAATTAAATTTCATTTGTGATAACGATACTAACGATGGGAAAACATGCATACCATCGCTTTTAAATTGTAGAAGAGAACGAATTTTGTCCGAACGCACAACGGCGTTCGGAAAATGCGCTGGGGAGTTAAAACAAAAATCCGACGGTGAACTTTCGCTTACGTCCGTTTCACTGCGCTCGGTCTACCGATATTATTAAACTTTTAATTTCAGCCAATTTATTCATCCAAGGAGGTGGAAAGGTATACTCTCCTGGGATAAATATATCCTTCGCAAATTTAATCGCCAATTACGAACAACGTTGAAACGGTAAGCCGTTTGAGCTCCTTCACCGATCGATACCCGTCGTCTGTCAAGAGCCTTTGCGTAAAAGTTCATCGGGAATCAATTGCTTTGTCATTAGATGGTAAATACGGGCCACGATTATTCCAATTATTCCAAATGTCGCCGTTCCGCTTCAGGGGTTTTCATTTTTCCCGATGCATTTGCAATTCGATGCGATATACAGGGTAAACCTTGGTCAAAAGTTTCGACACGTTGGTAACATTTACATTTCCTAGGGGTAAGCGAAACGTGGAACATGCGACTGTTTCGTATTATGCAAAGGGGAGTAGGAAACGATGCCCAAAATCCGTAATTTGCTTCTCGTGTATAGTAAATATGGACGCCAGGTGTCAATCGTAACAGAGTTGCAATAATTTATAAATGGCTGGATAAATGTAGCGGCTGAAATAATTTAATAATTTTGAACAGACCACTTTTGTCACTGATATTTTGCAATTCTAATTAATACAGCATTTTCTCTTGTATATAGTCAAAATCTAGGTGAACAGTTTTTCATTTTATTAAATAATAAATTTGTATGGAAATATTGTTTGGTCTGTGTAATCAATTAATGAAATGTTAGATTTATTGGAATTTCATGATATTCGAATAATCATTGACATTTATCGTTTCGACCTATTGATGTACATACAGTTAATTTTCTTTAAAAAGGTTTACAGTTCAATAGATTTTAAATATTCCTACTTTATTTCTACATTATTTTAAGCACCACAATTTTCCTTTATCGGATATTTATATTATTGTTTGTGTTAGCAAAGAAATATTCCGTAGTGTACCTATGTGAAGTATCAGAATTCAGCATAAAATTTTATTTTAGTGAATTAATTTCTAGTAAATTTGCAATACCTCTCTACTAAAAATCGTTATATTTTTTTAAATTTTTTCTTTCACTATTCACAATTAAATTATGATGCTTTTTATATATTGACATTCTGTACATTTAGAAAATAAATTAAAAGGCTCACCATCCAATTTTATGTCACCATCCGTTCCGCCAAGAGAGTTTTGCGCGACGCACTTGTAAGAACCAAAGTCATTCGGTCCAACATTTCTGATCTTCAGCATCATGTACTTGTTGTAGCCATTGTCGGAGTACACCGCCTCGTATTTGTCACCTGCAATGGAATGGTAATTGCCTAGGCAAATAAAATTATTTTCTTGGCAAGTGGATGACGTTTACACGGCATGAAGAGTAAAGCAGACAATCTAATTTTATGATGCTTAAAATTACCAGAGACAATCATATCCCCGTGCTCGGTCGTCCAATAATTGATGGAAGTAGGATAGGCTTCGGTGTGACATTCCAACGTGACGTCTTGTCCAATATACGCTCCCTCCAACTGATTTGGTATCGAAAGCATTGGCGGAACTGTAACAGAAGAAGGACAAATGTGACGTGATTAATAAGGACTATCTGTTTTCCCCAATTCGCAGAACTTCCATTATTCCAATACTCCATTGTGCAACCATCTATCATGCGAGCACCATTACTTACGGTTTAACCTCTTTGGGCAATGGTGAACAATGCGATGTAACTTCGTGAAATTTAATATAATTTTTAAACTTGTCAAAACAATAAATATCCCATTTATAGAAATGATTTGTATTTAATGTGTTCATCGATAGTTATTGATATCCGGCAAGAAACCATTAAAAATAATTTCAGCTGCAACCCTTTGAAGTAATATTTCTATTGCGAAACACGTTACAATTTATGTTTAAAATAATTATGCATCGCGTGAAACTTTAATAATATTTTTACTTAAAATTCTTTTATTTTACTTTACACTAGTAATAAGTCAATCAATGCCATTGTACATAAACCACGGAAAATAGTTCACTGCATCCAATTGGTGGCCAAAAAATATCTAAGAAGTAATTTTCTTCAATAAATATAACAAATAGGAAAAAAACTATACAATAGAGAGTTAATTGAGGCATCACACAGAGACGGAAGTAATGATTGGGTGTGCTCCGTCACTTTTGCAGTCGGCGTTTTAATTTTACTTAATGTAGCGTCTGACATCAGAACAAAGACCGTCTCTTTATAGGAAAATTCACTTATCGAGCGAGCACATTCATAGAAGTTCGAAAACAACGGACTTCGCACCGCTTACGCAAATATAAAAGATTCCATTTACGCGTTGGTTAATTTCAATTATAATCATGATTAATTATCCTTAGCAAGGAATGTTCACGAAACCGTTGCATTGTTCCCAGCTTCTTTTAGAAAGTATTATTTATCGCTCCTCGAGGCATAGTCGCTCTCCCTGATCGTGTAATTAATTTCTTTAAGTAGAAGGTGTATAAAACGAAAGGGGCATCGATTAAGGTCGCAACGCCCGAAATGATCTCCTATTGTTTAGTGATTTTTTCGTGTGTATGGGTATCTGTCGGTGGGAAACAAATTAAGGCGATATAAAGAGACTTCGTTAAGGCTACAAACAATATTTTCGTTTCTAATAAAAATCATCAAACAATGTTCAGATATTTTTCAATCTATTCAATCAAATTAAAGTTTAATTAATTTTAATAATTGTCATTTCATTTCTAAAAATACATGATTAAATAAAATTAGCCCTCACTCTTCGATTTAAACTTCTCTTGCACAGGTTCCAATTACAAAGCAGCCAAGTACTTTCAACGATCCCCAACCCCGCGAAAATTTCTGGGGTGGCAGGTCTTTCTTTTATTCAAACTCTTAACCATTTATACGCTAAAACTGAAGGCGTTTCATAGACACGCTTTTATACCCTTTAATTTTCTCCATTTTTCCGCGAACTCTATGAAGTTTCCATACACTTGAAAATTCAGCGACGCGACTTAGGGAATGCAGGACTCCCTTAGAGCGAAAACATCCCTCTCAAAGTTTTCAGTTATTATACGCGCAGCGACGGGCGTACAGCAGGGGCTTCTTACGATCAATATAGATATTTCAGAGCCGCAATATCATGTCATAGTTCCATCTTTTACGAACTAACGTAAATCACGATTTACTACCGCTGTATACGCTTGAGACGATATCACGGTGGATAGCAGTCCCTCGTTCACTCTATATTCTTCCTCACCTCTCCTCTCTACTCAAGTCGGGTTTTTGTTGAGTTATCGGATAGATTGCGCGCCCATTAGCTGATCAATTTAATTGTATCGTCGACCGAAATTTTAATATCCACTTGACCAACTCAGGCACGAATAAAATTCATCACATTTTGATATCAATATTTGGGAATTACGAGGAATCAATATTGCCCTAAATAAAGAGTATAAATCCAATTCAAAGGAATATAATAGCTTTAAATGTATATTTTTTCATTGCATACTGAATTTGGATTTAACCCTGATTAGAAATAATTTTGTAGCCAATGGGATCTAAAATATTCCATAAAAGTTGTTAGTGATATCTCAAAGGAAATAAAAAAGTGTCTTTCTTCATTTGAATTTGCAAGACTTTCATTTCTCCGCTTTTAATTTAAAGCAGTCGAAATAAACACTGAAGGTACCGAACGGTAGCGGGAAAGCTTTTACTGATGAAATAAATTTATTCTTGAAATTACATTAACGAGTTGGACAAAAGAACTGCGGATTATAGTTCGTCGTTGCCCAACGAAACTTACCGCGAAGCGCTTATGTTAACTGTACATTTTGCTCAACTTTCAATTTTAATTTCTGAGTAAGTTTTCAACTGATCTAACTTTGCTGACTATTAATTAATATTTCAATAACCGTGGTATGAATCAGTTAGAAAGTTCTAACTTCGTTATCTTGGAATTCGTTTAATATCACTTCGATGGTATTGTCACTTTTACTACATTTTCTTTTGTTGAAAGTTTGAATGATATGCTATACTTTTTATATCAAAGAACTATTACGTACAAAATTTGAGTCTGTAACATGGTCTGAGAGAATTGCATGTCAAATACATTGCACAGTCAATAGAATTCTAATTTGAGACATTCAGAAAATTTGGATCAACAGTTAATTCGCGAAAGTAGCACTAATCTGTCAATCTTCATATGTCGATAAAACGCAGGACTAATGGAACATTTTTGGAAGTGACTTTTACGGTGTGAAATATTATAAAAATAATTTCTTTAAAATCAGAATTCTAATTCATTCAAAAAATTTAAACAATATCTAGTTAACTGTAAAATACAAATTACCCTGAAGCGTTCTAACATTTTTTTCCCGTGAACAAATAAAATAAAAATAAAATCAAACTTGAAGTTGTTTCGAAGAGTTTAAATAAAACTAATATTTATAAAATCTCTTATGATACGTAATAGAAAAACAAATCAGATATTTTCTACGTAAAAGAAATAAAATATAAAGTTCAATTAAAAGCTTGAACTTATCCAGCAGGAGTCCTTTTTAAAATTTTTATTGTAATTTGTATTTGTAATTTGACACTTAAATCATCATATTTAATATTTTCTTTGTTAATAGTTTCATGACTTGGATAAAATATAATTTTGAGAAAATCTCCGGGTAGAATTCCCACGGACGATTGTTAGCGCTTGTAACTATCGGTACAGTGGAACGGAGACTAATGTGTCGGAAAAGACAGAGCGGAAACGCGTTTCGCACCCCAAAACTAGCTGGACGTGACGCTCGAGAGGGGATGAACGGACCTAGGTACATCGAGCATATCTGGGTCAAGTGGCCGCTCGTAAATCGCTGGCTAAATGAAACGTTGAAAACCGACGTAATGCATCGTGCTGGAGCGAACAACCACTCTTCATCAGGCTGCGCTGGAATGCACCACGTTACTGTCCTCCGAGTGTCTGCCCCTTTTTCTTTATCTTGCTGCCTCTGTGGTTTGCTCAACCGCCACAGAATCTCTCCACTCTATTCCCTTGCCACGATGAAATTCGATGGGGAAGATTTAGTTCGATAAATTCACTATTAGTATCCCATGTTCCACTTCTGGGACGTGCGGGACACCAAGAGGGCCAAAGCAATCTTTCCTTTCTTCCTCTTTCCCTTTTCTTTCGTAACCAGGGCGTCCAATAATTTTCTTTAAATTAGTAACTCTTAATTTCTGGATATTATATTATTTATAGAATTGGCCTCTAAAGAGGATCAGCAGTAAATAAATAAACTACGTTCCTTTGGACTATAGATGATAAATATTTTAATATAATGTATAGGTATATGAACGTACGAATTGTATTAAAATATTTACTAAGATATAGCCAAAAACTGACTGGTACATGCTCACAGATTTTGAGTGAATATTTGGAAAGCATCGTTTATGACATGGTTCAACAATTTGAATTTACTAGCGCAAGTAACTTTGTTCTTAACCGACTTCGAAAAAGTGGAGGTTATTCAATATGTTATTCAATGGTTTTATACACTCACATTGAACACGCAGAGATATCCGTTGGCTGACTCGTGGTGGAACATTGTTCGAAGCGATGCACAGGTATGCACCCATGTGCAGTCGACTGATCTTCACAATATGTAACACCTCCCCGTCCACGACATTCACTGAAACATAAATTAAACGTCGTGACATGAGTATTCCGAGTACACCGAATTAGCTATCCACCTATAATTAACTGATGAGATGCGGACGATCGATATTTCCAAAATTTTAGTAAGTACTCTTGCTAATTTCTCTAAACCTATTTCATAAAAGTAGAATTCTTTAAAAATTAGATATCTAAAACTGCCTATTCAACAGTTTAAGTTTACATGCTAAAAAGTTTTAAAGTGTGAACAGCAACCAATGGAAATTACAAATTCATTCATAGTTAACTAATCAATTTTGGTAAGAAAGAAAATTTATTCCCATTTTATTGTATTTCTCTTGTTAGACTCTAATCATGAACTTGACAATGATAAACGTATTATTTTGTACGGATAGTCCAAGACTGCATTCATTCTCTATTTATAATATATGCTTTGTTTCACAAATTGCATCATGTATGTCGATATGAATGAAGTTTATACAAAATGAGAATCACAGAAATTCTATTGCAAAATATATTTAAATATTCATTCACATACAACTTCTTCATTTACATTCTTCCAGGTCATACGAACATTATTGTTTCAGAACAACATTCCTATGAAATTTATCAACAGACTCTGTCGATATTCTATACTTGAATGGTGAGTGAACAATTTTCATAAAATAAAGCATACAGTAGCGAGATGCAAAATTTGACAGTTTAATATATCCACGCATAGTAGCTCATTAATATCCGTCATAGAAAGTAATTATTTATTCCATCATACAATAACTGGTTCCATTTTCGCGCTATACGGTAACATATAATTAAATTACGGTAAACGATTTATCACTCTCCGTAGTTGCCTGAACTTGGAAAACTCTCGCGTTCCATATTTTCGTAAAACTTTCGACAAATTTTGGTGCCGCCGTTGGTCAATGGTTGTAATAAATTATGCGAGAAAACCAAAACGATCGTCTACGCGCGTAAATCTTAACCTCCTGGATCATCAATTTCTTTTTTTGGGGAAAAATAATCTTACTCTAAGACCTATGCACTAAAGTTGACTCAAAACCAAGTGTCTAAAATGCTATACTATAAAAGTTTCTAAATTAATTAACACGTTTCGAAAAAAATCAATGTTTCAGACGATTGTTAACGACGACATTTTATCAATACAAAAAGGAGTGTATGAAACGGGAGCTTCATAGGAGTCAATATACTCCGGAAAGATAAAGATACATGTATATTCAAGAAACGGAGAAACAATTGCAGGGGAAGAAACTGACGGTGGTATAAAAAATACAGCCCCCTCAGAATATAATAAAACTCGCCCCCCTGGGCAACATGGCTGCCGTTGTACGCGGAGAACCATGGTATATTCCATGGAACGTAAAACCAGATGATTGCTACTATGCGTTCCAATAAGAATGCAATAATAAAACACTGTAATCCGCTCGCCTTTTTTACACGCAAAATTATTATGCATTCTTATGCATCGCGAAACGACAAGGAGCAGAGGTGCGTTGCCATAAGTTCCGAGAAGCTTAAACCAGTCGCGAGTGAATGTTTAAGAGTGATGGAAAACCGATTGAACGTTTCTCTCGATAAAGCTTCGAGAGCACATCGTATCGCGAGCACGCTTCTACAATTCTTCCACGGTAATGTCGAGGTAATGGGATGCTGTAACAGCATAGGATTCTTCCAGTCATGTAATACTGTTCGATGTACCTTGCGCTCGCTGCTAGTACACCTGCAGTTCAAAATAAAATGCTTCGATTTTACATTTGGTAGCCTCGGTGTGCATCATTTGTAATCTTTACATTGATACTAATGGACACTGTTGATTGTAAGACAAATCTTCTTTCATTGAATTATTTATTTATTATATTATTATTGTTATTATTATTTATTTTATTATTTATTCTTGTTTACATATTACCTAAATGCTTGCATTGTCACTTACAAAGACCAGTACATGATAGTTATATTAAAATATCGTTTGAATTCAAAGATACAGCTTCTTTTTCATAAAAAACTGAATTTTATCCCAGTCCCCCTTATATCGCTCTCTACTACTCGCATGACACAAACAGTTGGCTGCAACAGGCAGATCAATCTGTTGAATCGTACAAGCATATGACGCGACACGGTACCCTTATCATTCGTGAAACAATCCCCCAGACGAAGGTTACGATAGGAACGAAAAGTTGCTGTCGTATTGCGCGCCGAGGCGTAAGAAGATGGTGTGAATCGTTGTTAGCCATGGCGCGCCGCGCGCCAAACCTATCCATTGTTCCGCAAACAATGCCTAACGGCGCGAGATTCCACCAGCGGGTAGCACTTTCCGAGGATTTTAATCAAGTAGTCCCGCAGGTCCTGTACTTGGAACTAACCCCTTACCGGTTTAGCGAGAACCTTTAAAACTTTCGGCTTAATGGGGATGCACGATATGCGACTACTACTCGATGAAATTTCGAGTCGTACGAGCCACCTTTGCTTTGAACAAAGAATTAAAGCGAACAATTATTATTTTATGATTATTCAGACACAGTATGTTATCGGTTATCTATTTTTCTTTACAATGATGAAAGTTTTGAAGTGATTTCTCTGATTTGATTTTTCCCCACTAAAGAAAATGAGTTTTTAAATTTTAGTTTCATTAAGGTTTTGTTCTGAATAAAATCTATTTATCCCTTTATATTATGAATTATTGATTCTTATTTTCATTATGTCTCGTTTAAGATTCTTATATCCATAGTATGAATATTAATGATATTAATGAAGTATGGCATAATTCTTAAAGCCTACGATAGTTTTTAGTCTTCTTTTGTTACGATATGATACGACGAAAGTTCTGCATAGACTTTTAGTGTCTACGAATGCCACTCCGGATAAATTAATGACGATTATCACTCGAGCGTCACGAATACCGTTAATTTTCCATGTCATTGAATATCTTTTTTCTGAAATTGACGAAATTTCATTGGCCACATGTTCTGGACCTTTGTTTTGGGGATGAATACTTTAGCCGCCTATACGCGAAAATAATTTTTTCATTCGTACAATAGTACATAAAAGCCTTTCAATTTAAAGGATTGCGCGTATAATAAAGAAGCAATACGTTCGTTCAAGACGATTTATATTTCGTTAAATCGTACTGGAAATGGAAGTCGAAATAGAAATTCAATACGAGATTCAATACGAAGCATGACGAAGGTATACAGTGACAGTTAATTATTCACAGGAATATGTATACCTGATAGAAATGAAATACCTACATTAAAAGGAATATTAGTATTACTTGGATAAGTTATTCATACAAGTTGTTCGTTCAAGTTACTGATATGGGAATATGGAAATTGCATTTTCAATCAAAACTGCAGCTATTCATTCGTCTATAAGCAGAGGCGGACTGACTTCGTATTCAAAAGAAGAAAATCAAGTCTCTGCTATTCAAAACACATGAGATAAGGCGGTTTAGTGGATGCCCTTACTTTCCAGTTAAACACATTAGATGTGAATAACATTTAGGGTACATTTATTATATCCGTTGTTGACAGATATCTTTAATGTAGTATTTAATAAATTTTGTAGCAAATTAAAAGTAAATAAAAATATTAAATATACTTCCTTAATAAAGAAAAAGTTAAATAGCGTCTTGGTCGTTCCATCTTTAGTCTGTATTCATCAGTAACAAGTACGTTTTCAATTCCTTAACGGTTAATTCTCAGTTAATTTCTTGTAATTTTATTCAATTAATTTTATTTTCGGTTACATTACATTTATCACCAATTCTTCCACTTTGTACTAAACCTGTCTAAATCTATCTCCGCTGAATTTTTATCCGTATCTCCTACGTTTTAAGCAGAACGAGATAATCCTCTATTTTCCATGGACATCCTCAAGCTCTCTACAAACACGTACCTTTTTTTTAATGAACACAGTCCGCGATAATTGAAATAATCGTCAAAGGAACCGGAAAGGGTTCCAAAAAAGCGACAAAAAAAACCGCACAATTTCACGAGCATTTAAGCTCGGCAACGACCTCGAGTTTGTCGCGACGAGCGCAGCGATTCCGGCCAAAAGAACGTTAAAAATCACTTTACATTGAAAAAAGCGCTAGTTTACATGAATGCGAAAGACGCCTTGGATTCCAATTTGCTCACTCGCGAAAAAAGTCTTAAAATTTTCATAATATCACGACGCTACGCTGGACGATAACGCAGTGTCTTTCAATGTGCATTAGCCGGTTTAAACGTTAAGCGACGCGATAAGGGGCCAGCACGTGAAAAGAACCGTGGAATAAATTAGCAGCCATTCACGTCGATGCGCGGCGCACTTTGCATAACATTTTCCGTGTGCTCCTTAACGTCGTAAAAATAAGCAGACAGCTTACTCGAAAGACGAAGTGGGGAGTTGGCTACCTATTTGGGAATTAGTACGTGATGTATTCCGCCCCATAAGCGGCGGGTTGGACGTCGATATTTCATCCCCGTTCCCCTCCCTCTAATCCTTAAGTGCCCTTTTTTGCGTTATTACCGCCCGATAACCCAGCTACATTCATTCTCCAGCGAAATCCTCGAGCCACGATCATTGCAGCTAATGTATTCGCACGTGCTCGAATGGACAGATGGAATTGTGTATTTGTATTGGTGCACGGGGTTGTTCGATCCACACTTTGCTGCAAGAGACAATTTATCCAAACCATGGGTATAGTATCAAACTTCATCTTCAAAGGATATCAATTCTTGTTAGCGGACTTCCTAAGGTAGAATCAATTTTTTATTATTTTTGTATAATTTGAATCGATTATTGAGAACATTTTTAATGCTTCGAACTTCGTTTGAGATTTCTCGTAGTCTGTATATCTAAAATGATTGTTAGTTCTGTCATTCAATAAATCTTGAAAGAGTTTAGCTTTCTTATTTGTTCGTACGTATACCTTGATTCTGACTTCTTATGCCCACAAAATATTGTTTGGCTAACCTTTAATCGTTCGAAGAAGAAATTGATCGACATCAAACACATTCA